TGTGAGAACCATACGGAACACATAAATACACTGTGTGGGCAGAATGCAGAGTTCAGTACGTACCTCACAGGAAACACATCACGTCTCCGCTACAAAGCCCAACCGGTTATTGCTGTTTAGGGAAATAATCGCTGTTTATTGTGAGAACCATACGGAACACATAAATACACTGTGTGGGCAGAATGCAGAGTTCAGTACGTACCTCACAGGAAACACATCACGTCTCCGCTACAAAGCCCAACCGGTTATTGCTGTTTAGGGAAATAATCGCTGTTTATTGTGAGAACCATACGGAACACACAAATACACTGTGTGGGCAGAATGCAGATATTTTTAATTTAAAAGCAGGCGTTAACCTTACAAACCACTGTCGGTGGGGTTAGTTTATCTCTAAAGAAAATATGGTGAAAATGTAAAGCTATTCCTGTACCAGGCCGTCGAGGCCCCCAACATTTTTCTAGACAATCGGCTCACGGATAGCGATGAGGTGAGTCTTACACGCCGGCCACCATTTACTTCCAGGAAGTTTCCTGGTACTCATTTCTGTTAAAGGCTGAGTCGACCAAATGGCCATAGTGCGGCTGGAAGGATTAGGTCAATTAAAAAATCCAATGACCTCATCGAAAATCGAACTGGCGACCTTCCGGCATGTAGGACAACGCTTCGTCGTGCCGCCTGAAAATATTCGGATTCATAGAACTGTGCCTGTCTGATGTTATGCTCAGCAGACACCCGGTGGAACCGGACCCGAATTTTTGATGTTGCCAAGATAAAACCCGGCCACTTTGCAAACACCTGCTGCACGCTGGCCTGCAGGCCCATCACCAGGTTGCGGACACATCGACTGCAGCCAACTGTTCTCATTACGAATGATCATTGGTTCTCACGGTGCCGGGTAGATGACACCGTGTAGTGTGGCAAATCTTTACCAACGTTTCGAAGGAATCTGCCTCAATATTCAGTATAAATAAGGCAAGCGTGTTGAAAGGTGGTACTTGCAGGAGGCTCGAGGCTTCTTTACACAGTTTCCCTTACTCTTGCTGATTGGCTCAGGACCTCTAGCGTCCACTTCTTTCCGCCCACGGGTTGCTTTTCTAGCATGTAGACAGAGGCAGCAGATTCTTCCGGAACAAAATCTCTTGCCCGTGCCTAGAATGTAACCCCAATTCCCCTAGCCTAGTCGCTATACCCATTGAGCTGTCATGGCTGCTTAAAGATCCACTTCAGTGATATCCTTCCATCAGACACTGTTCATAGGCTGTGATGAATTTGCAAGTGTTGAATGTCGCCGAGAGAGGACAGTTTACACACCCCTGATATAGGCGCTGCCTTACACTGAGAGAGCCGGTAGAGCGACGGGCTACTGGCTGCACGACCCGGGTTCGATTCCCTGCAGTGCAAGGATTATATATTCTGCACAGCGTTCAGACCTAATCTGGGGGCCTATCCGGGTCCCTTTCTCAGCGGGTAAATAAATATACATGGCCGTTAACCTGACCATTTACCTCCATCTAGTGCCGAGGTCAAGAATGGCGGAGCTGTACCTCCACTCACTCATACGTCTTCATGGCGTAGCATATTACCTAATTAAGCACAGGGACAACTTTTCTTATTGCTAGTGGGGTGGGAGTAAGTCCCTTGCACTGTGGCCACTTCTGGCCTATTGTACCAGCCCCAGATGATAGGCGAAGGTGATTGTGGAGCAGTTGGTGGAATGAAGATTGGCAGGGGAAACCGAAGTACTCGGAGAAAACTTGCCCCCAGCGCCACTTTACCTTACACAGACATGAGCAGGGCGCAGTGAAGCGCGAACAGCCTGCAGATCTGTGCTCTCAAGAGATGAAGTCTGTGCAGTACACGAGCGACGGTGCGTCACACGTTGCACAGGGAATTGTACCGTAATGATTACGTAACGGCCTACGTCACTCCCTGATAGATGACGCGCTCACGTTCTCGCGGCAGGCGAAGTATCTCAACACTGTATGTAACTCACTCCGCTTTCTCATAACACAGTTATTAATGCAGGGTTATAAAACATCTGCAGCCTGTTTCATACCTTCACTGAAGTCAGTAACGACATCATATGATCGAGTTTCTTCCACGAACTGTATCTATTTGGGGACAGTGGGTTTGCATACAAAGACACGCGGTGTCTTGATCTTCCTCAGTTACTCTGGAGATGTCTAACACATGCACTTAGGTCTTATGCACTGTCAGTCACAGTTGGAAAAGGGTGTAAAATGTCTTGATAGTTTTATCTTTTTCCATGCAAGAAATTTAACTTGTTTAAAACGAAAAAGTCTGTAAACTATAAGTTGTTCCTTTGCTTAACTAATTAAGCACTACGCCACGAAGACGTATGTGAGAGTAGATGTATAGATGCACATTTTCTTGACTTAGGCACTAGTTGTAGGTGAGTGGTCAGCTTCACGACCCGGCCGCTTTACCCATGGTGAAATAAAGGTAACGCTACCCCTGTAACAGGCCGTGGAGGCCCACAGGGTTGTGGGACGTCGAGGCTCCCACATTTTCTGTAGACAATCTGCTCACATATAGGGGTGACGTTAGCCTTACGCGCACGCCGCCCTTGACCCACAGGAAGATTCCGGGTACTCATTTCTGTTAGAGGCTGAGTTGACCCCAGGGCCATACTGCGGCTGGAAGGATTAGGTCAATTGAAAAATGCAGTGACCTAATCGGGAATCGAACCCGCGACCTCCCGGTTTGTAGCATAATGCCTAACCAATTACGCTACCGCGTGCCCTGAGCTGAGAAAGTCTGTGCACCTTGTAATGTGTACTGTACACGGTTCGGGATGAGAGTTGGAAGGAGAAGTTTTCTGCATGTGAGCGCCACTCCACAACCCGGCCAGCATGCACACTAACGGCGTCGGATTGCAGGATAATAGATTAAATGATGAACTTGAAAGGATTCGGAAGGAAGCGGCCGTGGCCAATCGAGGTATTATCCCTTCAGTTTCTAGCAGAGACTGAGGAAATCCACGAGAAACCTCGGTTAGGATAGCCTGTGGCTCGGTAGAGAAGTGAACCGCGCACCCCCCTGGACACGAGTATAGTGCGGTCCCGCTAAGCTACCCTGCTTGCTTTGTTCGGCTGGATTGTGGGTTGCGGAAAAGTGCACTTTGCCCCGGGGGGGGAGGAGGTTGTTGGTTAAGGTTCAGTGGAGCTGCACTAACACCAGGCTTGCCGAAAGATGTCACCACAGCTAGGTAGGGACTGTACTTGTGCGCATGTCAGGTGGCGGAAAACCCGCTGAAATTCAACAGGAAACATTTTTGACAATTTTCATCTCCAGCCGCGGCTTCTACAGATAGCCTTTCCATTGTTCCATTACATACACGTTGTAGCTCAGCACAGTGACACAAAAGAGTTCACATAATATGCATGCTGTCGGCTTCCGGTATGGAAAGCGCGACGTTGATGACTCTAGGCCAGATGTGCCTATGTCGGCAAAGGTCGACGCTCTGATACCGAATTACAGTAAACCCTCGCTAATCCGGTTGAGTTAAATAATGAAAAGTGAAAAATTCTGTTCGCCGTTGAGTACGTACTTTAAAAGACGCGTGGGACTTAGGAGCAAGAGGACTTGCAGACTGTGTCGAGGGCAGGTGGAGAGACTGAAACTATGCAAGGAAATATCCAAGATTGGCTTCAGCTGGATGAAGGAGACCCTGGATTTCAGCTTCTGAAAAAGGAAGAAATTTCTGCAGAGATATATTTTTACTTTATTTTCATCGGCACTGCCAATATGTACGTGTATGTTCCTTTACCGTGTTCTGACTTCACGACCATTTGAATTTCATTTTATAACTGTATTGTTTTAAACACTTTCACAAAGAAGAACCGTGTACTTAATAGTTCCGAAATTTAAGCGTTACACTCCTGTGATTGTAAATACATCTGAAACCGCAGGATAGCGCAGTCGGTATAGCTACTGGCTACGGGCTTGACGACCGAGGGGTCGGAGTTCTAGTCCCGGCAGGGTGAAGAATTTTCTCTTGTCCGAGTCGTACACGCGGGCTCTGGGGTTCACGCAACCTCATATCCAGTTAGTACCGGGGGCTCTTTCCGTGGGGGTAAAGCGGCTGGGGCGTGTAACTGACCACAAACCCCCAGCTAGTGCCCAAGTCAATAAAATATGGATCTGTACATCCACTTCCCCATACACCTTCATGGCGTAGTGCTTAATTAGTTAATCAGAGGGACAACATTACTTTTATCTGCCTATATTATTAAGTTTTCCATTTATTTGTTTTCTAAGATTTTTTGTCCTTTGCGGCTATCTTTTGCTTTATTAATCCGGATTATCGCATAATGTGGACTCCCACCCCAGTTAATTCGGATTAGCGAGTGTTTTCTACACTAACATCATCTTCCTGTCCCATCGTGAAGATCAATTTGGTTTCCATGGGGGCAGCATACCAACAAACACTGCATCAAGCGCTGCCCTGCTTAGAGTTATTGTATGTGGTTATTACGTGAGCATGGCTGTGAGTCTTAGTAACCCGCCAGGGAGCATTCCTGTGTGATCACAGGTCGGACTCAGAATGCCGAGCTAATGAAGTACAGCATAGCGGCGCCCACAGGACAGCGTAATTGTTGTTTGCTGGGCGTCGGGTTCTGTCTGATGAGGAGTGTACGTTTATTTAATCAAGAATTCATCTCCATCCTGTACACTGTGTTCCAAATTAAACAGAATGAGTCAGCGAAGTGGGACAAACATTGTATCTGAACGAGTTCTCAGTTCCTCAGCGCCACTAAAAAAAGTACGACATATTCCGCAAAGCAATTAAGTCTCTTCGGTACATAATTTATGGTTATTTGACAAAAGAATCTTAGGATTATAATTAGCGCTAAGCTTGCGCTAACTAGCTCAGTTCCCACATACGTTATTTGCAAATACTTGTGGAGATATTCGGACTCTGTTTAAATGTCCGCGTGTTCCTTTAATTAACGAGAGCTTTCCTCTGTCTCCAACAGGTGGTTCTGTCATTTCGATGACGACAACTACGTGAATGTTCCGCGATTGGTGCGCCTGCTGGCAGACTACAGCCCACAGGAGGACTGGTACCTGGGGAAGCCTAGCATCCGTGCGCCGCTGGAGATCCTCAACAGGGACAAATCTGCGGTAAGTTTGCTTGCCGCAAGGATCTGCAAGACCTGGCGGATATAGTAGCCCTAACTAAAACTTCGCCTGGGACATGTCTGCTATCGCAGTATATAGGCCAAGTTGATAAAGACGTGAAGAACGAATAGTACTCCAATTAACAAATCAAATTTCATTGGATTCGAGAATCTCATAGCAGTGACTCCGAAAACTTCAGTTTTCATCGCCGTGTATTTCAGAGATAGCACTGACGTTTCGGAGAATATACCGCCTCCTTCCTCTGCATCTCGCCTGCCTCTGCTGGCTTCCCACCGCGGCGGCCCGGGTTCGAGCCCGGGTCTGGTCAAGTGATATTTGTGGTGAACAAAGTGGCGCTGTGGCGGGTTTTCTCCGAGTACTTCGTTTCCCCTGCCAATCTTCATTCCACCAAATTCTCCATCATCATAATCACCCGGGGCAGGCCAATCAGTGGCCGCCGTGCCGAGTGGGCCCAGTTGGAATCCACCCCCCACTATGCGAATTAAAACAAAATTAATTAGTTCCTGGCATACTCTTCGACTGTGAAGATGGTAATATGTTCCTCCGAAACGTCGGGCTGTCTCCGAACCATACAGCGTCACAACTAAGAAGACTGCAAAAGGTAAAGCCGCGAAGTTCAATAGGTTTGTGAGACGTCAAGGCTTCCACATTTTCTAGACAATCTGCTCACAGATGGCGGTTAGGTTTTCAGCCTTATGCGCCGGTCACCCTTTACCCACATGAATATTCCTGGTACACATTTCTGCTAGAGGCCGAGTCGACCCCAGGGCCATAGTGCGACTGGAAGGATTAAGTTCAATTAAAAAACTGACCTCATCGGTATTCGAACCTGCGACCTTTGGGCTCAACCAACTACGCTACCGCGTGCCCCCCTCATAGGACTGCACTCTTTAGATTAAAGTTTATTCATGTGCTGGGTTTGAGGCTCTCCACGGTGATGTGTATGAAGATTGCCTCTTCCGGCATGTGACGCCGCGTAGGCTGGGATAACTTCACTGGCGTTTAGCCGAATCGCTTGCAAGTACTCACGCTTTAATAGCCACGAAATTGGCCAGTTTGGCTGAAAGTTATTTTTTATATGTCCCTCCGTTTCTTCTACATATTTCGTTTTTTTCGAGGGGGATATATTTGTAATGAACGATTCCAGAATTTCTCCTTGTTGGTTTTCCCATGCAGTACCCACGCAAGTAACTGTTCGAGAACACTAAACGGATTTCCATAAAATTTGGCATTGCAAACTTTTTGCCAGAATTTGTCGACACATTCGGGTTTTGATTGAAATCAGACAACGGTACCGGCCACTTTTCACTTCTCTCTGAGCGAGAAATGTTTCCGACAAAACTGAAACTAGCATTTTTATATCCGGTAAACTCTTCCCCACATTCTTACGGGTTTTTGAGATAGCTAAACCCAAAGGGAGCTATGCGTAATTTCGTAACATCTTGGACCTGAGGTTCTCACATCGGTCACTTTGTAGAATTCTGTCTTCTGAGACATAACGACGTATAGTCCAGCGAAAGTCAACCGACGTTTCGGAGACATCGCCTTGTTATTCAAGGTCGAAGATAGTAAGCCAAACAAGAAACCAGTATGAGGCAGACAGCAATTGCTTTCTTGCTTGGCCTACTATTCGACCATGACGATGGAATCGACAAGATTCTCTGAAACGTCGGTTGACTTTCACCGAACTCTACGGCGTAATATCTCAGAAGACAGACAGACCTCTTCGCTTATAGTCCAACACTGTTCGCAGGGCTGCGTCTAATTTTGAGGTGCGAGTGGTTAGCTCAGCTGCATACGTAATTCTGTTGCCATGTTACGTAGTTCAGTTCCTGCCGTCAATCTTTCTGTGGCGCTGCTCGTGACCTGGCCGCGAACCAATTAAATCTCCCACATAGACAGACGTAATTAGCTGAGATGTGTGTATATCCGGGAGCCTGACCGGCAACACCCTCTAGGGGCACTCACTTGAAACTCGTTATTCTTTTCTTTAGTACTTATCAAAGTACCAGCGTTAATAATGTTGACAGGTAGTAGTTTCGGAGTTGTTGGGGGGGGGGGTGGAGGGCTGGTAAAAGGTAAAGCTGTCACTGTAACAGGCCGCGGAGGCCCATAGGGTTGTGAGACGTCGAGGCTCCCACATTTTCCAGACAATCGGCTCACAGATGGCGGTGAGGGTGTCAGCCTTACATGCCTTGCGTTCTCCCTTTACCCCCATGAAGATTCCTGGAACTCATTTCTGTTAGAGACTGAGTCGATCGCCGCCATAGTGCGGCTGGAAGGATTAGGTCAATTGAAAAATATCCAGTGACCTCAACGAGAATCGAACCCGCGACCTTCCGTTTTCTTACACAGTGCCTCAACCAGCTAAGCTACCGTGTGTCCGGGGGAGGTGGTACGAATTTAAAGTGAATTTACTAGAATATTGTGCAGTACTGTGTTCTAGGATGTCACGCAGTGTACACCGGTAGAAGTTTACTGACATTTCGGAGGAACATATCGCCTCCATCTTCAGGGTCGAAAAGTAAGCCAAGCAAGCAGAACAGTGGACGTTCTTGATGATTGCATGGTTTACCCTTCTACAATGAAGATCGAGGCTGTACGCACCTCACAAACTTAGATGGTATTATAGCAGACTACACGGTGTCACACCACGGAAGATTGTGAGTTAGTCATTGCCGTTAGACCCTGCTTACATAATTACATAAATCCGAAACTGTTCTGTATGGTGTGAGACCTGATCTCTTATTTTGAGGGCGGAAAATAGATTACAACAGGCGGAAAACATAGTGTGGAGGGAAATATGTGGACCCAAGAAGGGCGAAATGAGCCGGTTAGAATGATCACATTGTGGTGATCATTGTTGTGATACCGTGCAGATGCGTACTGTCGTTTCGGAGGAACATGGTACCTACATCTTCAGGGTAAAAGTGAGTTTTCCCTGAGCCGAATGCTACTAGCGGCCCTAGCGGTGATCCCATAACTCTCGTGGGCTCCTGTTCGGCCATCAGACTGAACAGTCATTGCCGTGTTGAATTGAGGACACGCCCCCTTCACAAAACAGTAACACAAACGACGTTGGGGGGGGAATAAAGCTGGAGTCATCTATACATCTAACAGGATGGCCTGCCACGCTCCGCGGAGCGCGAGTTGCCTCATGGGGTCAGACCCTGTAAACTGAACAAGTGTCCGCAGGCAGCCACAGGGGCAATTCCTGTTGCTGGAAAACTGTTAGCATCCAACGTTTCGCAATTGGGACGGAGTGGAGATGGCTGAAGTGCAGATTTCGCTAAGCCGACTTATGGCGTTTAACAGTGGCTGATACGTGACGTTGGGCATCCCTGCGATGGTGGGCACTTCCACTGAAGCAGACCGGTCAAGCGATCGCGTTCATTCGTATCTTAATGTACTGCGTACTTTGTATTGAAGTGGTCTGTACTACTTGCTCCTTGGGCTGCCTCCAGTGGCCCCCCCAGGAGCTCCAGTACCTGCTTTGGTGTCCGTCCGGCAAACTGTCTGCCGTGAAATTTAACCTGCTTAACATTTCTTCGTGTTTCATTTGGAAACCTCTTTTCTGTTCCTTCCTGAGATGCCACAAGTTACTGCCCCCTACAGTGTCCTGACAGCGCTCCCCCCCTCCCCCAAAAGATAAGAGCAAACCTGTTCTGGGGGGCATCCCTGACCGGTTTGCAAGGGGCTACGCCCCCAGTTGAACATTAGTGCTGTCAGGACACGTCTTGAACATTTTGCACATTTGTAAAGTAGGGCTTTGCCTTGTGGTTACTGCCTTGGTTATTTTTATTTGTAAAACGATTTAGTTAATATTTGTAATTAAATGTACTACCTCCTCTAACATTAAAAACTCTGCATTCTGCTCACACAGTGTATTTATGTGTTCCATATGGTTCTCACAATAAACAGTATTAACCGGTTGGGCTTTGTAGCGGAAACGTAATGTGATTCCTGTGAGGTACGCACTGAACTCTGCATTCTGCCCACACAGTGTATTTCTGTGTTCCATATGGTTCTCATAATAAACAGCGACTGTTTCCCTAAACAGCATTAACCGGTTGGTCGGTTTTATGGAGATGTGTTTCCTGTGAGGCACAGACTTAATTGTTTATGAAGAATTATGTCTTGTGGGATGTAACCTCCGCGTGGAGGCGGGTTCGAATACTTCCAGCGTAGCCCTGCGAGTCGGAGGCGACGAAAAGGGAACACAGTGCCTGGGGCTATAACCTAGCCACCCTGTTCCTGGGTGATATAAATACAGGGACCTGTCCCTCCAAGTTGGGGGAGTCTCGAATCTGATAGGGTAAAATATGTTCATGAGTCCCGCGGGACTGGGACCTGACAAAGACAGCGCTGGCGAGGACCAACAGTAATTGTCAACGACAGACCCGTCCTCTCGTCAGAAAGGGCGCCCAGCATCAACAAACACGCAACTATCTGATAGCAACAAGAATCTGGTCTTTGGTCCCAGGTGGTGTTTCATACGAAGACAGAGTTGCCGACTGACCGTCGATCTTAACGTGACTGACCTAGCCCTTTGCGGTTTGTCATGCGACTCGCCAACTCGATGTGTTCCTCGGTTTTCGTTAGTCCTAAAGTAGATGCTGAGTTGGTACCTAAACTCCGCGCTGCTCTACTTGCTTCACACTCAGCGTTCCCAACGTTGGTACCTAATTTCCGACCATGCGCAGAGGAGCAAGTGTTCAGCTTTCTCCTCTGCTCACAACAGAGTCCACTCTCTTATAACGCTTTACCTTAGGCCATGCCATAGCTCAAGCGGTTAGTCGCTGGCTTCCCACCGCGGCGGCCCGGGGTTGATCCCGGGTCTGGCCAAGTGGGATTTGTGGTGGACATAGTGGCCCTGATGCAGGTTTTCTCCGAGTACTTCCGTTTCCCTTGCCAATCTTCATTCCACCAATTGCTCCACAATCACCCTCATCTATATCATCTGGGGCTGGTCCAATAGACCA